TGCTATCTCTATTGACCGAGATATGTGCTTCTTGCATCGAACAACAAGCATGTTAGCTGCCATGTGCTTCTTGCATCGAACAACAAGCATGTTAGCTGCCCCACTGAAAGAAGAAAATAAACCCGTCACAGCAAGGGACCACACTTTAATGGCGTTCAACTTTGATCACACTTTAGCAGAGACAAGTTCAGCCACAAACCTACAGGGCCGCTCTAGTGACTTCTCTGGAGAGTTGATGGTAAGCATTACAGTTATAACCTAACTCGTATCGATTGTGCATGAAACCCATCACAGCAGTGCTGCCCAAGTGATCCTGGGATTTCTCTTCAAAGAGGCAAGGTCATGCTTGGATTAATGTATGTTGAAAAACACCACTTTAGGACAAGAAGAAAAAGATTTGGAGTGTGCAGTTTTAATCCTGACATTAACAAGCTCACAGGTTAAGAGCAAACTTTACTCATACAAAGGTCTTAAAACTATCCAAAGTGACACAAGCTCCCTCTTGCTAACATACATCAAGCTCAGAACAACGGGTTTATTTAAAAATACACTTTATTTACAAGACATTCAAACTTCATTTTGAAAAAAATTTAACTGTACATAAAACTTTAAGTAATTTTTCACTAATAGTTAACAAAACCACAGTGAGATTTTCCATTCATTGATTCAGCAATCATGGAAATTACATTTTGGCACATTATTTAAATCACATAATGAACAGAAAAACTGGAGGAAACTTTTAAGCAACACAACTCCATAAATGTAACAACTTTATACAGTGACATCCTCAAATCAGGGTATCACTGTTCAAATAAAGTATTTAACATAGAAAGTGCTTCCACTGTACAGCAGAGTAAGTAGCAGAACCTATAGAAATCTTCATAGTGTTTGGATTATCTTTTCAGAAATGTCCCTTTTATCTGCTTTCCAGTTAGTGATCCAAGCTTTCCCCTAAGGTGTTAATGAATGACTGATGAACTCCAGTGATTTCATTAGACCTTCTCAGGCTTAGGAACCAACTTTCTTTAAAGAGTTGGTTCAGGTGGAGTGCTTATAAAGAATTTCAATATATATAAATATACATATTTATATCTCAGGATGACTACTTAGACAACACTTCGACACAGATCACAGGACATAAAAGAGTCCTTGGAGTAGCCATCCATAGACCTTGGGTGGTGAACTTCACTTCGGGGAAAATTCGGATGCCAGCATATTCCCTTCAAAGTTCAGAATAAAAGGGAGCACTGAGGACACTAAGTGTTGTAATAAGGTAGAGGCAGGGGGAAAGAATAGGAAGAAATAAACAAGATCAAAAAGTGGTTCGCAGTGGTAAAGTGTATCGCATAGTAAAACCAGAAAGCGAGTGAAGTTGAATTAAATGGAGTGCAAAAATTAAACCAGTGCATAAAAGAGGTGTTTCTAAACTGTACTACAGGTACATCACCATGACCAGAAGGCTAGCGAAACCATACTGCTTTTATTGAAGAGACAAAGAATAAGAAAAACATTAAGAGGAAAAAAACACGGTTGCACTACAAGTCAAAATAAGTATTGCGAAGAACACAAGGAGAAGGAAGTCAACTGAAAATTTGGCAAAACTCCTAAAAAAAAGGCAATACTCCTAAAAATAGCATCAGTTATTTTTCTTTACATAGAAAAGCAAAGGCAAGATCTGCATTCAGAGAGTTACAGAAGAAGGAAAAATTAACTATCAAATTGACACATTTGGTTAAAGGTAACATATGAAAAGGTGACAAAAAAATTGAATGCATTTTAAGAAAAGGCCCACGACTGATGAAGGCCAGTAAATTGCTTTTGCATTCAATGCCATGTTAATTTATTCCATGTTTCACTCTTGCTCCAACACTATCTGCCAAGGCTAGCAAAGGTTTCGTTGTCATACAACTAGGTCACATGTATGACTGGTTATGGATCAGAGGGCCACATAAGCTGGACATGCAGTTGAAAATCACCTGTGTTTTAAGCAGATTTCCTTTGCTACGGACAGGGATGGACAGATAGGGGCAACCACGGCAAGAGAAACTGAATGCCATAATGGTGCAATCAGAAGGGAGTAATTGAAGAGGACAGGGTAGCACAATCAACCTGCAATCGTCAGAAATTTTACATTACTGACTTGGAGGGGAAAAAAAGGAATTTAGCTAAAGAGGCCAGAAAAGAGTTTTTTCAACAGTGCAACACACTACAAAACTGAATCTAGAACACGTGCCCATACATGAGGGCAAATACTGAAATATAGTGTATTTCAAAATGAGGTAAGCTTACTTCAAGAGAATTAGAAGAGATATGCCAAGAACTGAAGGGAAATAAGCCAATACAAAATACACACTGATTGGAATGAAGGCTTCTACAGAAGTGGAGAGGGGCCACCCAGTAGAGCCTAGTTGTGACACACTTAAAACAGAGAAGAAAAATATTTTCTTCCAGGACTCAAAGGAAAACAAGGATACCGGGTCAGAAACCTTAGTTGGATACCCTGAAAGTCCCTACACAGAAAAAACAAGGTTCACCTCATAAATAATATAGCTCTGTTGGTTTTGCCTGCTTAAGTAATAAAGCAAATTTTAAATCTGCTTGTTTTCTAGACCTGAAGATTTCTATAATCCCTGGTATTTTCCTATTTATTCACGGGCAACAATTACAGTACAATCAACCAGACAAGAAAAATGTTTACGAATGTTACTTCATTGTATTTTCAGGTTACAACACTTCTAAAAACTTAAAAAATAGATAATCACAGTTTTAACAAACACTGGAAGGATAAAGAAAAAGATAGTCCATTTTGTCAAATGCCTCAACATTACACATACTAGTTTTCTCCAATTCCAGAATAAACAATACTGCCATTCCATCTTCCAACCATTTAATAAAATGTATATATAAAAAGATTACCTGATTTAAGACACAAATGCATAATTATGAAAGGGTGCTTCTTTTAGCAGCTATCTGGGAAGCAAGTTCTCCCACAGACTTTGTTGTTATTTTGGGAGCTTTCTATTCCCGTTCTCAAAAAACCTATAAATATATTTGTTATTTACATCTAAACCCTGACATTTACACATCATCACAGATGAAAATAAGGACAAAAAGAACGGAAGAAAGGGCTGTCTTACTTTATGCCACACGCTTTTAAAAGACAGAGCAATTCTTAAAATGTTTCCTGATTTACATTAATTCGTGCAGTAACTGCCAAGCGAGGTCCTGCTGCTTCCACCTCTGCAGCTGCCAACAGAATCAAACAGACTGCAGGATCAAGCTTTTAATTATACTAACACACAGTTTAATTTATATAATACAAACCTACGATGGTAGGCTATAAAATATATTAATTCACCCAAGAATCTGTTCAAAAGGGGCAACTACAAATCTAGAAATGTGCTATTTAGACTGCAATCACTGCTTCAGTAAATAGCATTTTCCAAGCAGTAAAACAGCCTGCTGTGTGTTTTAATAGTCATTGACTTAATGTAATCGTCCTTATTAATAAGGAGTTGGCTGCTTTCTAGACAGCCTTACAAGAGGTCCTGGTATTTTCCCAGCCCAGGCAGGAAATCAATTTTCCCTTTCTGTTAAGGTGTCACTGAAGTAAAGACATCACTATTTTATAGTGGTGTCCCCATGAATAAATGAATACCCTGCCCAGGCCACACAGACCATTGAAGGGCTGCTTTTGACAGCAAAATGCATTTGAAAGCTTCTGGATCTGGTCTGCATAGCCAGTGCGGCTAAGCACTACGCTCAGTGTGAATTAGGTAGCGGGTCTCCTCTCCAAGAAACCTGGAGAACAGACCTGACCTAAATCCAGCATCGGTGACAGGGCACGTCATCTTGTTTTCCTTAGAGCACCCTTGCATGCCTTAAAAAAAAGCAAGCAGCAAAAAGATAAAGGAACTGCTTCACTAAATACACTGTGAAATACACCTTTGGGCAGGGGGAGGAAGGGCAGGGCAGGGCGGAGGGCTTAGACCTTTACCATAAATCAGCAAGAATTAATCAAGACTAAACAAGGAAAAATTCCCTGTAATTTTTTTTAAAGCTTCCCCTAAGTGATAACACTGCATATAAAACTTTAAAGAGACTTAATTAATACAATATCAAATTGTGTCTTAATAATAGAACCGCAGAATTTTAACTGCTCATAATAAACACATTAGCTTATTTATTCAGCATGAATAATGACAGACACTCAGTGTTAAAGATACTGCAATCATCCCACACCATGATGAATTAAGACCTGTGGCTATTATAATTTCTGTTGTCAGGAGAAAAAAAATAAAATAAAAAAGACCCGAGTTGTACAATCACAACAGTGAACAAGATAAAAGTTAACTGGCTGACTGCCTGCATTTCCATTCCCTAGAATCAGTACAGACAACGTTAGTAGTATTTCTTTGCTTTCATGACAAGAAGTCTATTCTTTAGCATACTTATCTGTGATTAGGCTAAGACTCCAGTATTACTAGTAGAGAAGCAAGACCAGCTTCTGCTCTGTCCCTAAATACAGGAGCCAGTCAAGAAAACAATGCAAGTCGAAATTCCTGAGTGCTTCCCCTCCCCCTTAAACACTCTTAATTTCATTCACAAACCCCACTGGCCAGAAGCACAAGCGTTACTGTTAAACATGAACTGTCTATGCAAAAAACGGGTTTTAAGGATCAGTAAAGCATCTCTACTGACGTCCTTTATAAATATACAGTACTTCAGCCCAGTACAATCATGAACTGGCCACAGGGCTTTCAGGAAACAGCGCGCTTCAGCAGAAAAGGCCAGAGTTTCATTCCCAGTGCCACCGGCCATTAACTGCAAGCATCAGTGCAGACAGCAATACGCCCCATCCGCTCTAACAGCAGAAATTCACACATAGTTTGGTAAGGAACTGGGTTAGGCTGTATCAGAAAAATCTTAGATGAATGCAACGCCCTTTGTGGAAATATTAATCCTTGTTTCAGATACAAGGGGGTTTTAGGCGTGTTTTGGTTTACAGCTAAAGCACAGAAATCCTTTTGCCACACCAACTTCAGCTACAACCACCGATGACCCCCTTTCCAGCCAGGATACATTCGTTCTATGAAAACATTATGCATAGTAGAGGGAATTGCCTAAAGTCGTGTACTGCTCAACTGTGATTTGTCATCAGACACGCCACAATTTTTCACGGTTTTAATGCTATCCTCTGCCAGTGGGTACTCGATAGGGATTTCAATATCATTTTTACTTGAACCATTGTCTTTATGCAGTGCAGAAAGGCAACTATCGTTTTTCTCAGTAGAACCATTAGTTTTAGCCGGGGGGAGCTCCCGCTGACTGCAGCACAGCTGAGAGTCACAAGCTTTTGAGATGCAGGGTGAGCTGCACAGTAGCTGGGAGGTCTTGCGGTCAATGTACTCGGGCTGGATGGTCACAGAATGGATCCCTGCTTCGTGGAAAACCTTCCGTATTTTATAAGCAGCATCTTGGTAATCAGTAGGGGTTTGGCACTTGATATGAAGAGTAGCAATATTCTTCCCACCTGCAAGTTCCCAGACATGCACCTCATGAAGGCTGCTAACCCCTGGTACACGAGCTAGTCTGTCAGCTGGAAGACATAAGAGAAACACATTAGAGGCTTTGGTGCACTAGCTTTCCCATTAAGAGCCCTATCCGAAAGCACCAGTCTCTGAACTATCTTTTTGAAAGAGCTGTACTTAGTAAAATATATCTACTGTCTTCATGGCCCCCAGAAGAGGGCCACAAAAATGATCAGGGGGATGGAACACCTCTCCTATGAAGAAAGGCTGAGAGAGTTGGGGTGGTTCAGCCTAGAGAAGAGATGGCTTCAGGGAGACCTTATTGCAGCCTATCAGTACTTAAAGGGGGGTTATAAAAAAGATGGCGGCAACCTTTTTAGCAGGGCCTGTTGCGACAGGACAAGGGGGAATGGCTTTAAGCTAAAAGAGGGTAGATTCAGACTAGATATAAGGGAAGAAATTGTTTACACTGAGGGTGGTGAAACACTGGCACAGGTTGCCCAGAGAGGTGGTGGATGCCCCATCCCTGGAAACATTCAAGGTCAGGCTGGTGGGGGGGGCTCTGAGCAACCTGATCTGGTTGAAGATGTCCCCACAGCAGGGGGGGTTGGACTAGATGATCTTTAGAGGTCCCTTCCAACCCAAACTACTCTACGATTCTACTCCCAGCTGCCTTCAGTTCAGTCTCCAGATGACCACACAAGGAGGCCACCCTTCCTTTTGGGTTCACCCCGTCCCTTAGGCTCCCTAATGGCAATTTACCTGGCGTTCAGAGAAGCAATGTTAGAACACCACTTCCTTGGCCAAGACACCACATCTTCTCGTTTCTTTAGGCCTGAGCATGGTGGAATTCCAGAAATAACCAGTGCTGCCCCAGAATTAAGCAGTGTGAACAGCACCAGAGAGCTACAAAATTAACCAACCTTAATGGAAATTTCTAAGCTGTTTTGGAAGTCTTTTGGAAGAAACTGCTGCAGGGTTGGGAAATATTGTAATTCAGTGTTGTTTCTTTCACAAACACCCCACACAAAGCATTAACAGCTCAAGACCTGGTATTTTTGATGTATTGTTGGAGTACCACATTCTCAAAATGCATGCTTTAACTAATCCAGAGAGATTTGAGTCACGTTGCTAGGACACAGGCATGTGACTATTTCTCACGGTTGTTGAGAATTTAGAGCTATTATGAGTAAATAATCCAAACATGTCATTCCAGAAATAACATATGCATTGAAATATATCATTAAAATTAATAGCATTTCAACAACAAATTTGACTTACTCAGTAGTTGCATATTAACACTTTTGGGAACCATCTGCAACAAAATAATTGAGGTCTCCTTGATAAGCGGGAATGCAGAAGACAAGATGATGAACACCATAATTACTGTCAGGCTTGGATCAATGTAGCACTGCCAATTACATGGAGCATTCCCCAGAGGAAGTAAATGGAAGATTGTAGCAGTAACTACCACGACCACAGATCCAAGTGCATCTCCCATAACATGCAAAAGAACACCTGAAACAAATGGCACAATTTCCATTAGTGGGGGCTTTTTACTGGGGGTGGGGGGGGAGGGGGGGGGAAGAGTAAAGCTGCATTTTTCAAGTCTGTTCTACTTGACATGAAAAATGCAATATTCCAAGCACTAACATCATAACCAAAGTTTTCAATAACAGCTTTCAGAACAAAACAGCAAAGGAAATACTGACTCTGAACGACAGCTGCTTAAGTGGGATGAATTATTAAACATGTAGGGTATGCTAGCAACTGCGGTCCCACTGCAATGCCATGGCAACGTAAAATGTGTTTGCTTAAATGCCTGCAGATTATTAAGAGATCCTGGCACATTAAATCTCAATTCTCAATTAAAAATTGATGACTAAATCTATCTGTTCTACCCTGGAAGCTGAGAGCCACAGGCCACCCCCAGTAACAGTTATTCTCCTCCATCAGCTTCTGTCAAAATCTGAAAAATTACCTAAGTGAAACCTAAGCCCATTCCTATGGCTCCAAACGCCCTCAAACTCGAATTTTTGGATCAAGCTTGATTACTAGTCATATTAAACCTTGTCCCACCAACACTACTAGCCCTCAGACCCCAAAAAAAACAGAATCTGGTTTGAGAGTTAGTCACATGGACACCACGGTTTCATACGTGCCTGGACTACTCTAAGTTGAGAGGAATGCTGGGTACCACTTTTTACATCTATAGATATGTTTTTGCACAAAAGGTAAAGACACAAAACAGGCTTTTGTAATAACACATTTTTAGCTGCCCTTTCAACTACAATGACCAAAGTAGTCTTCTTGCTATAAAGTTACAATAATCTAAGAACTCCTTCTTTCTTCCTTTTTTTTTTACTACTTTACATGATCTTCCCTCTTTCCATCATTGCTCAAATGTACTCCAGTTTTGTCAGTCTTTACTGTTCAGACTCGGATTTCATTCCAAGCCCTGCCTAATTCATAACATCTCTAAATATATGAAGCTAATTTCTTTGTCAGTACTTTTTATTCGCAGCCTGTGAGAGAATAAAAAGGATCATTTGCTTTTAACATCCCGATGACAAGCACTTTCAAGAGCTTCACTCCAATTTAACCACTTCCTCTGGGCTGGAGAAGCTGTAAAAGGCTCCCTCTGAAAATCATTAACAACACAGCAAAGAGTTTTGACTCTGGTGATGCTGGACACTGGATTAGACCTAGAGCCGTGCCTGTGCTGCTGTTTCTTGCCAGCTCTTTGCATGAACATTCATCTTCAGCGTGAGAAAAGAAGTTCCTCTGAATCACTTGGGTCAGATAAGAAAGTACAAACTTCCAGTGAGCGCAGCTCTTTCTGCTGGAGTCAGGCGTGTTCTGCCCCATTTGGCAGACGCCCACAGGGCTTTACTCCTCCTAACAGTGTTGCAGTGTTTCCTTTTCATTTACAAATAATCCTGATTCCGCATGGGCTATCAGCTATTGCATGAACAAGAGGGACAGGCAGGATGCAATTGCCAAGGCAACTAACTAGAGAGCACAGCTTAAAAAGAACAGGAAAATGTTCCAGAAAGTCTTCTTCTGAATTAAGAAAAAAAAGTAAGCATGTCAGAATTATGATAAATTATGAATTGAGAACATGGAATTTGGAAAACGCTTATTTTACATCATTAACATTGTTAATACGTACATCTTGGTTACGCATCACAGAATGAGGGCCTGGTCAGAAATTAACCCATTTCCCTATAGACCCCCAAAAGCTATGGTTATAAAATAGAACCGAAAATGAATTTTTAGTAAATAAAGTCAGTATGGTAAAACTACAGGTAACACATAGTTTCCAACAGCTTGTGTTGGAAAGTCTGAACTGCTCTGCATATGCTCAAGAAGTAAAAGGAGTAATTTTACACTACAATAATTGACTCAGTCAGGCAGAGTGTCTGCATTCCTGTTCCTACCACTTTTAAAAATCAAGGAACCAATTCCTCTGCCAATCCCTTTTGTCCAGCCATGTTTTTCAGGGAGGCTCTGATTCTATAATGTATAGAATTTTTTGCCAAGTGATTACAAAGTAAGTATAGCTATGTAACTAACTTACAGCAAAAAAGAAAAAACATAGATTTTGAATCAGAATTTTAAAGACACATATCTGTAACACTGGCTAAAGAAGCAAAGAATATTTGTAAGGACAATGAAAATCGATTTTGCGAAGATGACATACTAAAGTTAAAGTAGCACTTAGAGGAAAAGTCTCTTTTTAAAAATCAAAGAAGACAGGTATCTTAAAATAAATGATACCAAGCTCCTTATCCTTCAAACATTTTTGAAAGTTTCCAGCATCATTATGCCTAAGCACTGTTGTTCAGGCAAGTAAGCCCTTCTCTAAAATATACTCATCGGTTTCTTATCCTTCTCTCCTGAAAGTGACAGTTTGCTTTTCCCGCTCCAATTTGCCGGAACATCCAGTGACACTGATTTCTAGACATTCAGGAAAGTGTTGTGGCTCTAGCACATGGTTTGATTTCCAAAGTGTCTTCCCTTACAGACACATCTGTGTAACTCTGAAAACACTTCTGAAAGACAGGTAGACAGACACACACCAAAAAAAAAAAACCCAGGTGCCTGACTGCCATGTCAACCTCTTTAAGCTGAATTCATGTGATGCCAACTCACACAACTTTGGAGGAGTATCAGATGCTGATAGGTGACCATAAGAAGCCTGAAACTACCATCCTGTTTCAGCTTTCTGACAGCCCTTTCCTTGAGGGACAAACTCAAAGTTTAATACACTCCAAGGTACCTGCTTTTGGCTCTGCTCAGCATAGGTATGTAAACGTGTATGCATATAAACACCTATACAGAGAGGGAAAGGGAAAGAGACACTTGGTTAATTTATTCCTAGAAGTAGCTATACAGTTTCACTCCACAGATACCCAGAGACCTGCCTAATTACATAAAAGGGTTGATACTTATGCCTAACAACATAAGAAGGGTTGATACTGTCACAGACTCTCTCAGGGACAGGTTCACAGTTCAAGGACCTGGAAAAACACTGTGCTGAAGCACCAGATTCAGCACCTTTTTCCTCGTGCTGACTACAAAACACTGTTAACCTCGGGATTCAAAGAAATTCTGTCTTCTGCCCAAAAGCATTTTGAAGTTGAAAACTGCTCAGCTACTACAGCAGTGACACTCAAAGAAGCACCTCATAGATACCTGCTTTACCTTCCTATAAGGCCTCGAGTGACTTGAGCTTAGTGCAAGAGGCTTTGTCTCCTTTCCAAAAAGTTCAGCTGCACTCTTCTAAAGAATTAAAATCAAAATGCAAACACCCTCGCAGCCAAATCAGCATCACACTATTTTGGTATTATCTATGCTATCACATACAACCAAAAGCTTTCTGCTAAAGATAACTGGGTCCATATACATAGAAGAGTCCTGGGCTTTTGCTCCATTTCTTACTGATATTTGGAAAAAAAAAAAAATCTGCAATGGAAACCAGAAAGTGTTTAAAGGCAATATAATATTAGCAGTATCCTCCCATGCTGTACCTCTGATGTTCAAGGCTTCAGACTTTCTCTCTTTTTTCTTCTCAGGCCCCTCTTCAGGGCTTTTTTGGTCATTTGGTGAGTCACCTGCATTCAAAGAAGAAACGCTGTGTTGTGTATAAGTTCTACAAACAGAAAAAACATCATCCTTCTCAAAACCAACTTATTTCAAAGATGACGCGGAAAAAAAAAAAACCCAAACCCAAACCAAACCATTTTCCATGCAGCTCTCTGAGCAATGCCTCCCTCGCCCATCCCGAGGGGACGCCCAGCAGCCCGGTGTAAAGTACAAGGTGAAAGAGGCGGTGGGTGTCTGAGCGAGCTTAGTGAAATTCCCCGGGGCTCACGGGTGGGTGTGGGGCTTCAAAAGGGCCCAGAGGATGGGTCTGGCAGCTCAGCGGGTCCCGAGGGCAAACAGGAGGGAGAGAGGGGACGAGGAGGGCCGGGGAAGGGTCCGAGGGGGCGGGGAGAGG